AAATGTATGATACCTTAGCAGAAGGTGATTGATCAAAAAGAGAATCCTCTGCTCTGTGGCCATGATTGTGGAGTATAGGGTATAAATAAAATTGCAGTTCTTCACTACATGTAGCACGACAACTGGCGGCGTCTCAATATTAGGGAACATTTTTCAAGAGGGGTCGACGTTTAGAGATCAAACATCCCAACACAAATCATGTGATTACACTACATGTATATCATTTTCACCTGACAGAATTAGCCATGTAATCTTGCTCTGATCGTTTAACTGTATCATTTTCTGTTGACAGAACTGGTCTTGTAAGCTTGTGTTCACGGCCTTTAATTATATCCTTGTTGCCAACTATATATGGATTTTTATAGAGGGGTTATATCTACACAACATCATCTTCATATCAACATTTAAAAAGAGCAAGCGGTTCCATTTGTACATTATAGCTGGATGGCGTGAGTATACTTACATGTAATGTTTGATGGATACATTGAGTACAAAATCCAAGAATGTAGCTATATACGTACCAGCTAGAGAGACCATAATATTTAACTTCTATTATTAATCGACAATTTTAGCCCATTTGAACAAATATTTCAAAAACTTTACTGATCATTTTTATAACTTCATTATTATGTTAGTCTATCTGTGATTGTCTGGTAAAAGTTGCACATTGTAACTTATTAAGAGGGTTTATTTAAAACCAGAAGCAATACAATCCAGAGTTGATAAGATGCTTTGTGCTAAGGCTTGAGTAAAGTCCAGATTTTTATTTTTCAAATAAAAGACCATTACCGTATTAAATGTCAAAACAAGTTTATGCAAATAGGACAAACTTGGCTTGACAAAAGAATAAGGGGTAGTTCTGGTGACAGTACCTACAGTGTACTAGGTAATATTTACCTTTATAAACAAGATGAAGTGAAATGCATGTACATTGAGATTTTGAACTGTATTAATGCTCAAAAAATCAATTCAAACAATACACATCAGGAGCAAAGTAACCACATCCCTCTAACATCAGAGGTGGATCAGATGTCATGGATTAATGCGTTTGATCTTCATTGCTGGAAGTCTTCAAATTAGAGGCCTTGTGGATACATGTATACAGAACATGTCTCTCTTAATACAATATTTTTTTTAGAATGTTTAATGTTTTGGTTAATTAAAAATTAGAAGAACTAGTGAACATATATAAGAGAGCCAGAACCTTAGATTTAGCGATCATCCATTGATTTAAGAAATACGACATTTCAGAGGCATGTGCAATGTATTAAGGTAAACCATACGATAAGTAAAGACTAGTATATGCGATCAACTAAAGTCCACAATAATAATATGTTTCATTTGCATTTTTATTCAGTTCCTTCACATTGTTTCCACGTTTGTGTATGTGAAGTTTTTTTCACCACAAATCTCGCGGGATATGTACACTTTCTGGCTTTTTCATAAAAGAGAGCACTAATAACTATAACTCATCCATCTGCAAATAGGAATTGGAAATAAGACGTATTGATCTCTTTTTTATGATTAGGAAAATAATGAAGGCATGGTAAATTGGTATTATTTTTTTTTTACATTTAAATTAAAATACCAGTAGGGTTTATATGTCGTGAGCATTGTGACAAACAAGGGAGCTGTAATCATTTATTTTGAATATATTTTTCCACAGTGTTACCAGTCCTTTCTGTGATTCCCTGGATACTGGTCAGAAGTTACCTCGAGGACACACTGTGAGTCTATACAGGGTGATACTTGTAATTATCGACTTATAACGATGTGCAGTCCATTACCTAATTGCACAAATAGCTAAATCAATTATTTTACAAATATAACCGGGTTTCAGTTTTAAAATTTCAAAAGTACATTTATGTTTCAATGCCAAGTGTAGCTGTCTAATGCAGTTTAGGTGTCATACGAAACCCTATCAAGCATTTGTTATTAATTATATCAGTAATTAAGGCAGTGGGGTGTTATCTTCACAAGGCTAAAAAAAACACACTGAGTTATGTGTTTATAAAAATAAAGCGGCACCACCACTATGTTACGATGAACTTTAATCCCGATTGTTTATTTACACTGAATATATAATTTATAAAAAAGAACAGCCGTATATTAACCTATTTAAAAATGACATATGCACATTACTGTCACTCCTGAAAGATGATTTAATTTCTTATTTTTCAAATCTTTGTACCATATGAAGATAGCGGTGTTTAGATGCGAGAGAGCAAGTAAAATATATACTAGAATACATCACAATGTTTCGTAAAATAGCTTGTGTCCAAATTAATTGGTTCCTCCCAAAAAATAACATCTTTCACAGACATTGGAAATTTTATTATTTCAATTTTTTGCGGTTGGTAATTTGTTTTGAGTGTTATGTTTTGTTTTGTTTACTGTCTATGAAATGTCTACAATAATGAACTTACTGAACTTAATGAATAACTACAGACAGTGTAAGTGAACTACACGATATTAAAATAATCGACGTGTAAAAAAACTAGAAATATGCACACTTTACAAAAAAGAATCGAAGATTTATTTTAGTTCCTTGATAAGAAAAATATTGTTAAGGTTTAGAAAAAAGAGGCACATTAGCCCTAAATATTACATACGAAACTGACCAATTATTAAACATAAACATTTTAAACGATATTTCGCTTTCAAATGCCGTAATCAAAAGTTTTTAATATCTTTTGCTGTCAAACCAGCCCCAAATTGTCACATTCTGTAACCAGACATGGATAAACACGACATATATTAACAAGTTACTGAAAGTCTTAAGTACATGTAACATCTGGTCTTGAAATGTTGCTCATTCCAAACTTTTGATTTGCCATTTTAAAGTAAATATTGTGTTAGAATTTTTGTGTGAAACAACCACGTGATTAAAAAAAGAAAGTTGAAAAAATAAAAAAGAATCGGACTGAAAAAGAAAACTCAGTAAAATGAAAACGTATTATTTTTCGTCCTAGGAAAGACAAGTTTGGCTTTCCAGAAAGCCTGAAATGTCATCTCTTTGGTATCAATAATGTCAAAGAAATAAATCAGAAAGGGAAATATTTTAATGCAATGAATATATGGATTATTACACCTGAAGTTCCCAAATGACTTATTCAGCAAACTCCACAGTAAAGTACGCAGTTTCTTTTGGCCGCAGTATATATTATATGGAAAGCATGGACGTCTGCGAGAGCACCCAAGGCGATTTTTGGTGAAATTTTATTCTAGCGGTCTTTGTGCTTCTGGGTGTTTACAATTTACTTAAATTCAAATACTTTCCTTGAACTATATTTTCTTAACACAATACGGAATTATCAACAATAATTATCATTCATTTAAAAGCAGCTAATCATTAAAGTTTGACAGGAATTAATTTAATAAATCCAATTACAGACTAATAAAATTAGCGTTGACCATTCTTCTTTCATTTTTTGCAGAATCTAATTGTAAGCTTGTTCTTTTGTGCGAGAACCAGTTTTCCCTTTGCGTCAACAAATCTATATGTAGAAATCACGTCATTGTCAATTCTCCTTGTGTGGCTTACCAATTTAATAAGGCAGAGTATTTAGGATCAATATATATATACTACACACCGAAACTATAGATATTTATAAGCATCGTACTTCTTTTCTAAATTTTCCTTGGCCTAAACCGAAAGTAGATCACACACTCCTAAGCTAGTTCTTCTTAAAGAAAACCAGTTTAGAGGCTACTTGGAACTCTGTAAAACATCGAGGACTCCCGAAAGATTAATGGAGGCTTACACTAGGACTTCACTTCCGGCATACAATCTTAATGTGTCATCTCCCGAGGGAGATGACAAAAATAACAAACACACACACACAAAAAAAAAACAATTAGTGAGAAAAAATTAAACAAACGTTATTCCAATTTAAAGATTAATATAAGAAAAGTGCATTCTTATCAAACCTAGAATCGGTATCATCTGTAAATAAAACATATCGGTGAATTTATTCTGATTTCATTTTGAGCAAGCATGTTTGTTTTGTTTATAATTAATTTGTATTTTTACCCCGCTTTAGGTGTTGGAGCACTCACACAGCCAAAAATAAATTGGTTTGGATCATAAGGGGACCAATAGTAGCAACGATTGTGGTAAAATGTTTATCTTTAATTCAGAATAGAATGTTATCAAGATATTTTTCCGGTCAAAATTCAGAGTTTTGCGTTTCAATAACATGACACATTTTGATTAATGACTAAACTGATCGTGTCTGTTAATAGACATCATTGACATGCCTTTGCTGTTTTGACAGGTCAATTTCATTTTTTTCATCAACATAATACGGGTTATTTTTACAAAGTTGACAGCATCACATATGAACGACAATCATCGCTATAGGTAAGATTTGTACATATTTTTTTAAAAACTTTTTCCAATATGTTTTTATTTTGAGGGATTTTGGGGAGTGGGTGGTGGATGGGAGGGTAGTGGTGGTGGTGGGGGGGGGGGGGGGTGCGGGATGGATTCGGTCCTTGTATACAAGCAAAGACAAATATCTAACAATCTTTATCTTATTTTATTAATCTTGCTAAAATCGTCCGTAATTAAAATACACTTTTATAATTTAAAGTCCACATTAAATACAAATTCATTCAACTCTTCATTCTACTTTAAAAACACTGAAAAGTAATACATATCATTTACCTTTTTATGCATTTAATCACTTGCATTTCCAAATATATCCTTTCTAACTTTAGAAAACTGGCGCGCTCCACCCTGGTCCTGATCCCCCTGTTCGGTGTGTACTATATGATATCTGTTGTCATGCCGGAATGTATGGACCCCAGTGTAGAACTCATCTGGCTGTATGTGGAGAGTGGTGTCAACTCATTTCAGGTTAGTATCGGTGATCACTTCCGTAGTGTACAGCATTTTTCTGGATCATAAAACTAATTTCAGTTATTGTACAAGGAATGCTTTTAGATTTTCTAAATACTTTTTGAAATAATACACCTCGATATTGAATTTGTTGGATTTAAATTAAATACCTGTCTTGTATGTCTGTACAGAATGATGATCATAAATATGCTTTTATATATCACCATATTTTCTACAGGGCTTTCTCGTGGTGTTACTTTTCTGTTTTCTTAATGGAGAGGTAAGGAATTTTAGATAGCTATTACAAATTATAAAATAAATCCAAATTTAAACAAACAATCTTGAATCATTTTTGTGACAATCTGGACTATCTTCGTTATGAATTAATGTCAATGTATATTTTCCTATAGAATGTTATGGAAATACAAGTATAAACCTAAACTAGTCATAATATTTTGATATATCGTGATGTGCCCGTATATTTTTATGCCTCTTTCACACTGATTTAAGGTGTTTTGTACTACCTTAAGGTTCAACATGAAATCCATAAGAAATGGAACCGGAAGAGGAGAATACGCCGGTTTAGCGCCGCCTCCTCCCGCTCCACTAGAACTCTCTCTATAGGATCTACTGTGTTATTTAAAGACAAGCATCTCCCAGCTATACTGTTCCGGGGGGACATTCCCAGAGAGAAAAGAAACAGTGTTAAACAAAATTTAGAGTTAAAGAATTTGTGTAAAAAACCTGATTGTGATCTCAAAGAAAACAAGGATGAGGAACATGAATGTGTCAAATTATTGGAGTCCCCAACATAAGAAATGATGGATTATATTTGTTTTAATACGTTATTTTAGTTCTTTCTATGGAGGGACCTTAAATGAGGATTTGAACATTTTTTTACCACAAAAGGGAAACAAAAACTGTAGGATTTTTTAGCTGAAACTTTTCCAAATATAGTTTTAAAGAATTAAAATGTTAAGGAGTGATTGTCGTCGATTTAACCATTTGTCACATTTTTTTTCTTTTGTTGTTGTTTTCACAATTTCAACAGCTTTAAATTATATATGTCTTACTATAAGTATTAAGTCTCTTAAACAGGGCTTAGAACAGCAAACGTTGAATGAAACTTATCTTTTTAACATTTTCAAAGAAGGAGAAAAATTTGAAACTTACTGAAGATATGTTTCAAGATTTTTTTTTCCAGTATTGATAATTTTTTGGTCATAAAGTAATAGAAATGTACATATTTTACTTGCGTATATCAAAATAGTGGTTACCGTAACAAATCCTGGTGAAATGTTAAGATTTTAGGCTTGTTTAAAGGTTTCGAAAGTTTTACTTCGTAAACTTGCATTTAAAGTTTCAAAATGTTAGACATTTTAAATCTAATTATTAATTTTGAACAGGATTGGCTACTTGTTTTAATTTTCTTTCTTTAAATATAATTCCTTATAATAAATAAATGTAGAACAAACAAAGTTTGTAACTGAGTAAAGAATTGTGTTCTGAAATGAAAGGGATTGAAAAAAATATATGAAAAAAAAACAAAACAAAACAATAAGGCCTAAGATAAAAAAAACATTTGAAAGTCATAATGAATATGGCTGTACAAACAAAATTAAAGTCGTGTATTAATTTTTTGTTTATGATTTCGTCCGACTGATCTTTCTAAACTCTAATTACAAAAGGATTGTCTTATCAAAGCTTAACAACAACCTAATATTTTTTAATGGCTGATAAAAAGCCTAGTAAATGGTAACACAGATTGATGATAAAGGCATAAATCCTTTCATGATTCTGATTCTGACCAAGGGTTTATCGGCTAGAAAGTACTTTTTGCTATATTCCCACTTATTATCGGTATGCCATGTACACTGGTTTGCCAAATTTATTGACTGAATCAAAATTGAAAGTTTCCCTACCGTCAACGAACGTACATGGATTGCATAATCTGAGCTATAAAAACTTTTTAGAATATCAATTGTTCACTTTATTATTAAGCAAACACTGACGTACATTACTTGATTCAAATCTAAATTGTTTTGAGATTTATGGAATTCTAAACCAGATCTCTAACAGTGGCATTACAAACCTAACACTATTGTCAACGCAGATTTCACCGTCTTGATGTTCAACTTTATTCAAATCTCCGCTTTTAGGAAATGTTTAAGGTAAAATATTCAGGTTATGACCATCTCATAAAAAGTAGTCAATTGACGGTTAACTGACTGTTTTTCTTACACTTGACACTCAAATAGATATTTTTGTATGTATACTTGACAAAAACAAAATAATAAAAAAAATAATGATACCAATTTAAAATAATAATTGGTCACAATTTATACTTATCAATTTAAATTTGAGAAAAAATCAAAAGTTTAGGAAGTGGCATTCAATGAATTAATTGTTTAAATTTTATCAGATTTGAAATTATCACCATGTCCATTGAAGAAAAGATTGTTTAATAAAAATAAAAGGGGTATGAGGGAAAATTTGTAGCCCAATGTATATTTAAACATATTAAGCTGAAAACCCAAGTGTACGCAGATTCGCTATTTGTGTTAAAGCATTAAACTACATGTGCATTTGCTATTACCTGTAATTGAAAGACTGAAGTATATACCTAAACAAAGTCAGGTTAATTGAATTAAAAAAATGCTTATGACTTTATGTTTATTTTAACAAACTGTAAGGATACCTCTCAATTAAAAAAGATTTTGGGGGAAATAAAATATTGAGTATACATCCTCTAACATGATAAATCATACAGACCTATCGGTAACGAGATGCTCCTAAGCAAAAGAAATGACGGCTGAGTTCTGCATATCTGCAAAAGAAACCTTGCAAAATTGCACCATGGAGTTAATCAGTTTGGTTTAGGCAGCATGCTCATTTAACCTTTGCCAACACCCCAAAACCTCAACATCTTGCGGTAAATTAATGAACACCATTGTTTTTGTTTAGAAGAAATGTCCTGACGGATTTATTATCTGCTGTTCTTTAACTGATAAATCCCATAAATGCTAAACTGTATATTCCTTATTTCAAGCGATTACCTAATACATGTATCTCTATATGGCTCCAAATCTTAGTGTGAGCAATGCTAGTAATTTGCGATTTGAAGAAATTTTATACCTAAAAATAAAGAGAAGTAACTTTATACATTGAATTGTACTTCTCACTAAAAAAACGCAACTTAAGACTCCTTACTTTTAATTTAGAAATTCAAAGTATCAAAATATTAACGGAAGAAAGTGATAGGATAGCTTTATGTAACAAATGATCATGTCCTTATATCAGTTTTCACACTCTGTCTAATTTTTTATTTAAGAAAAAAAAACACTGAAAGAATTAGAGAAAATGAACAACAATCTAAACATCCATAAAACAATACAAAATAAGAGCACAGCAAATAGGGACCCCCGAAACATCAGAGGTGGGATCATGTGCCATGGAGGAGTGAGCATCCCCTGCCGACCTGTCACAACCGCCGTGTGCTCCTTGTCATGATCAGGAAATAACGGGAAAAATCCGTCGTCAATTCAGTGTATAAATGATGGACTAACATTTGGTATGAAAAACGTCAGTCAGCATTTGACTCAATGATAAACTGTATGAAGAAGGATATGGAGATAAGGAACAGTATTAAATAATGAACTAACAATTAATATGAAAAAAAGTCAGTCAGCATTTAACTCAGTGATAATATGATAAATTGTATTTGCTGGCAAGGTAATGGTATCGAAGAAAGAACTTAGGAAATAATGCCTTTAATCTAATATTCTTGTTCCATCAACTTGTTTGTCAATAATTTACCTCGTTTTAGAAATTGTTCATACGTAGAGCATGCTCTTGTGAATCGAATCAACTGAGATATGTAAACTCCATATTCAGGTGATTAAGGTTTATTGCTGCATAGATAAGGGAAGTTGTCGATAGAAAAGTTAAAGTCATCACCTTTATCATAGAGCTTGGTTGTTAGATTACCATAGAGCTTATCATAGATTAACATTTATTATCATAGAGCTTGGTTGTTATACCGGTAATTAGTGCTCTCATTTCCTTGTACGAAAATTAAAACTAATGACCTTTTGGTCAGAAGACCGATAGTAAGACTTTAGGTTTTTTTTAAAAGAAGGATAAAGAGATCGATTGATTGTTTGATCGTATATTGTTTAACGTCACTGTCAAGAATTTTTAACTATAAAGAGATCGAACAGTGATCGATTAAAACAATATCTATACACACAATTTCAATCCGCTGACATAGCATACATACGGACCTCCCTATACTTCAGGGTGGAATGAGGTGTCTCACTGGAGTAAGCACCCCTGTAAAGAAAAAGAGAACAATAAACATTGATTTCACCTTTAAAGCACCCTATATCTGTGTATCCTCATGTATCGTAACATTACAAGATATCAATTAAAGGTATGCTGTCCCCCTAAACAATGTATCTCTCTAAGAGACATTAAGGAGAAGCTAAATAACTTAAAATTTAATAATATCCTTTGCATTAAATCATGGTAAAAGCAAAATTCATGTTTGCTTGATTGAATTAAACATACCTTTAAAAAAAGTTATGATGTTCTGGTCTCGATGGTTAGAACTTTTAAAGTTGTATCGAATCTAAAGTTCTTGGCTACCCAGTTATTCAAATATTTCTTTTCAAACGTAGTTGAATTGGAATTCTATAATGTACATTAGTAGAATACTCCAGATTAGAATAATAGGCCGTTTTGATGTTTCATTTAAAATGCAGATACTCTGAAGTAAATTTCATTTCATGTTCTTTGTTTCTCGTCTTACAAAATACCCAACCCCTGTATCATCAGCCTCAGTCAGTGGCTTAATTTGTACTCTAAGAAATTGATATTCTTCGATTAGAATGATTAATGGATATGCCATTGAATAATTCTTTTTTGAAGACATCATCAAAACCATAGCGGGAATGAAAAACAGCTTTATGGAATTATCTATTGTTGTAATACAACTTCATTCAACTATGGCTTCAGCACCTAAATATATTTCTGTGGTACGATTTGATTTACTTGAGAGAATTGATTCATAAGTAATAAATGTATGGAGATAACGAGCAGTATTCAAGATCAAAAGTGCATAAGCAAAATAGGAGCCGAGCAAACATGGATCTCAAAAACATCAGAGGTGAGATCAGGTGCCTTAAAGGTGTCCAGTGTAGATCTTAATATCTCATGTCTTAAGATATCTAGGTGTCTTTTCAAGTTACTTGAAGTCCTTATAATATATATAGATAACTTTCTGCATCAAACTTATGCAAATTTTGTGCACCCGTGGTATTAATTCGCGCCATAAACGCGGTCCACGGATATTTGTCGAAGATTACTAGAAATCATGCGATGTGTATCGTAACAATCTACGATTTGAGTAAGTTTCCAGTCGCATAATTAATTAACAGAAATTATGATTCCGTGGAATAATGACCCAGTGGAAAAACGAACATTTACTGTATTTTGACTTAACAGTCTTATGACAAAAGAATTTTACTTTGTATTCACTTATTAAATTTTTACGTTTGTTTTATTTCACGTATTTATTTTTGTTTTCAGGTTACGATAGTATTCGTACTTTTTAAAGAATAAATCAACAGTTCATGCAAATGATGTAAGTAATATTCTCTAAACCTATATATTTCCCCCAAACCAAGGATAGATGTCGCTAAAAATACAATGTACGTGAACTCTAGTATTAAACAAATGCAACAAACGTCGTTATTAGTATTATTCTAACGTGTTTGAAAAGTAAATGTCATTAGAATCTCCTGGTTTAGTGTAGATCGAAATCTGTACTCACACAAATCAGAAATTCAATGCATATTCAATGTTCATTAATAATATTTTCTATCTGAACTGTTTGTTAAAACCTCGGTGTGAAGGCAAACCAGAGAGCCAATTATAAAAGAAAAAAAATACAACTCACCACTGAGATCTTCTCTTCCCCTTATTCTCTGACAGATCGATGCTGGGAATCACCGGCATTCATTGTCTGTGAATGCTCCCAAGATCCAATTATTAATCCAATTGCACTCCGTTCCCTACATCAGCCTAGGAAGAATTCTTCTAGAATTCATAACAAACTAATTTATCATGTGACTGTGCATTACTAAAGGTAACGGGTATTCTCTAAACATGTATTTCTAAACCTCCACTTATAACTACTGTCTGCAAACCTTTTTCTTGTAAGTTGTTTTTGTCTGGCATGAACGATGTTTAGTGGAAATTAATATCTGGAAAAAATACAGAAAACCCATGAATGTTTTTGAATATGAAAATAGCGAACATAAATAAAGGACAATAGTCTTTTTAAACAATACAAGTCAGAAATAGAAGGAACATAGACATTTAAATTGTTAGTATATAGATCAGGTGCCATGTTGGAGTAAGCCTCTCGTATCGATCGGTGCCACCTTCCGATAGCTTCGAATTTATGTCATGATCAGGTACATGTATAGATGTATTTTCAAATGTTTCTTACTTCATCTCAGGAATATCACTCACAGAATATTTATAATTGCTAGTCGAAATAAATTAATATTTTAATGAAGAATGAAAATTTGACTAAGTCTAAGTTTGTTTCATGATCCTTGGGCCAGGGATTCTTCAGTGTGCGCGATGAGGTGTTAATGGAAAAAATCTCTTATTTTGTGGCATTTTTATCCTTGGCATATATTCGAAAACGTTATTTTTAGGCAGTCGCACCGGTAAACCTCTTCAGCAGAATTCAAAATAATAATCATATATGAAAAGCTACATGTAAAAAACAAAAATAAAGTGTTCTGTTTGTTTTTAAAACTTTTCATTTGAAAAACATTCGATATTTCCTCTCATATGCGTATTCAATTAAGATTAATATATCAAATATCAATCGGGATCCTAGACTCCCTTTGCAAATTTTATCTTCAATTTGTTCGCAAAAGTGCAGTTAATTATCATTTATAAAGAAAGATCCACAAAAATGTAAATAAATACAAAACAGAAAATAACAGTTTTATCAAAGCCTTGATTAATCTCGTTGATTGCTCATTACATAACGACAAGAAGATAATGAAAACAAACAGGTTTCCCAAGAGTTTGTATGTACTTTTACAATAGGACAACAACCAAACGTAGGAGGTTGGTACATGCAGATTCATTACTTAATGCATGAGTGTTGTCATATGAGCAAACAAAGGCAAAAGACCGGAAGGCATTAATTTAGCGTCAGGGTAGCATAACAAAGGCTTAATCAGCTATGACGCTAATGAGGTAGATTATCTTTTTTGTTGAAAAGTCAAATAGTTATATAACAAAATATATTCTTTTCAATGAAATAGACAGAAAAACAAAAACCTTGAGTAGTTAGTAAATAAACGTATAGAATATGTATTTTTCTCTTAAATCCAAGAATATCTTTTAAAGGACACATTTGTATCAAAAAGTTGTATATGTCCTTTTATGTTCAAGTATTGTTATAAAAATGTTTACTTATATAATATTACAAATAAACATGATTTGGATTCGAT